GTACCTGGCTTCACTTTTTTAATTTTCGTACAGGTTCTCACTAAATCACTAAGCTGACCAACTTAATCAACTGGGCTCAGGCATGGAACCCTCCTGCCTAGGCCTTTCTAGTAGGTGGAATTGCAGCGATGCACCACCAAGCCTGGCCTATGCCATTTTAAATAAAACAGATTTTTAAAGAAAAACACCATTAAATAGATCATGCTATCTTATAGGCAATGTAGTGTTTATAAAGGTTCAAATTATTTTAAGAGTTTTTTTTAAGATAGCCTCATACTCTAGAACAAGTCCTGTATTATATATAGTGCTATGAAAATGTATTTATTCCTCTGTACTTCAGGTACTGTTATATTCACTTGAACCTTGCGATCAGGGACAGATACAAAACGTGGTTTTCATGAAGAAATCAAGCTTCTGGTTAGTTAAATGTATTCAGGGTCACATAGTTAGTTGTCAGTGTGGTCAGAGACTCCATATATGAAGAGTACAGCTATTCAGCTCCAGACCTCAACTCCATACCCCATTGAAAGCTCTAATATGAAATAAATTGATCAGTACAAAAAAATCTACTCCAAGCCTCTTTTTTAGCACCATACATTATTACTATCATAGCTTATTTAAAATACTTGAAGTCTGAGAATACTTTGTGATAATCCATTTCAGACTTTAAAAATAGGGTGTCATGCAGGTAAGAGAAGCTGATGAGTGTAGATAAGTTAATGGAGGAGAAAAGGTAATGACAGTGGAGAACTAATAACAGCTTAGTAGCAAGAGGCACATGTTGATACAGAGGGTAACAGCATTTACTCATGCAGTGGCTCTGTGGAACCCCAAGCAAAAACCAAATGTTGGAAGACAGTGTAACCTGTTGTAACTTACGAGGACAGTTTTATGAGACAGATCCAATCCTATCAACATTTTTAGAAACCAAGAGTTGGCTTTGCCATTCGTAACGTTTTTTAGTTTTTGGTTTTTGAATTTTTTGGCAGAATCAGGGATTAAACTCAGGCCCTTGCACTTGCTAGGGAAGCACTTAGTCTACTGAGCCATCTCCCTGACCCCCACAGCGTTTTTCAATTTAGATTTTAGTCTTCTTTTCCCTTTCTCTGTCTTCCTGTTCTGTGACCATAGCCTGCATTTTTGGATGGCTAGATAAAAACTGATCTAAAGTTAATAGTTATGTCCAGCTACTTAACCTATAATCTGGATCTAATCAGTGTTCTCATCTGAGCTATGACATAAGATCTTATATAATCTGCTATATCATGAAGAAAAATACAGATTTTTTAAAATATTGCATATTTCTAATTAAGCTTCAAACTTGAAAATTGTATTATTTATTTTTGTATTTTAGGGAAGGGTCTACAGGGTGTTCAGGGTCTCATTACTAGATTGGGCTTGTAGTGATCCGCCTGTTGACAACCTCCCAAGAACTGGGATTACAGGCGTGTACCACCATGCCCAGTCTCAGTTGCCATCTCAGGGTGGCAGGGCTGGCACAGCAGGCCCAGGGATCGAACCCCTGCCCCCTGCAAACCTCTGCCCCCTGCACCTGCTTGCAGGTGCTTTAATCCACTGAGCTATTTGGCCGGCCCTGGAAGGATTGTTTTATTGTTTTGCTTTTGGGGGGGCTCGGGCAGCCTTAAGGATGGGTCTTGCAAGCCAGGTGGAGCTGGGGATCGAACTGGGGTCCCCTGGGCCTGACTGGGTTTTCCAGAGCAAGTGCTTAAGCAACTGAGCTAACCTACAAGCCCCCAAATTTATATTTTTAAAAGTAATTTTTAAAAATAATTACTGTGGTGATGCATACCCATAATCACAGCTACTCAAGAGGGTGAAACAGAAGGATTGCAAATGTTAAAGGTAGCCTATGCAACTTAGCAAGACCCAAGATAAAATATAAAAAGGGTTCAAGCTGTAGCTCAGAGCGCCCTATTTCCCATACCACAAATAATAATACATAGGGCTGCAAACACAGCTGTGGTATAGCACTTTCTTAGTATGCTTGAGGTTTCATCCCCAGCACCATGAAAAAAAAAAATCCCAGTGGCATAAACTCTGTGGCTAAAAATTAGTTTCTCCTAGAAGACTGCCTTCAGAGCAGTAATAAATATGACAACTGGAATGCTAAATTCAGAAATTAAGAGGAAAAAGAACACCCACAAGTTGGTTGGATCCAGACAGTAGTTTGTGACAGTTCCCAAATTCAACAGGGGAGGAGCCAGTCTTCAGAGGATATGTTTGATATCACCGCACTAGGCCGTACGCTCCAAAAAGCAAGTTTTGTCGTTTTGTTCACTGATGAGCAGTGCCTGACACACAGGAAGCACTGACTTCCGGAGTTTTCACATCTGCCTCATTCCTCGGATTCACTGGCTGCTGTTTTACTTTTGTCCTGTAAAGGTCATAGTGGCTTCAGAATGGCCCCTTCCACTAAGGCGTTCAGCCTTCGCTGGCTCCACCTCACTCCTCCGGTGTTACTGTCCCTTCAGTGGGCTCTGCACTCTCTTTCAGGCCAGCCTTGAGAGACAGTGTTATTTTAAAGTACGACAGAGTGATGATGTGTGCACTCAAAGTACACACATTACTGGGTGTTAAACATTGTGGTGGTAACAAAATTTAGAAGCCATTAAGCAAGACTAGAGGAAGCAGCCAAGGCAAATGTCTTGAGCATTTCTCTGTACTTTCTGTCATGCTTGACTTTTTCTGATTTCAGTAACATAAAACATGTACTCACATCTACAAAAGCAATTTTAGCTTGCCACTTCCTGAATGAGATCATTAATTTTCCTGTTGAAATTGAAGTGCCCTCCCACGGCACTCCTCACCCCCCGCAAAGGATCTTGCCCTTCTCAGCACTGCCTTCTAGCACTGTGGCGTTTTCTCTCACTTGACACCTGGCCAAACCTATGGCCTGCGGGCCGCAGCAGTTTGCATCACTGTAAGTTCCAAAAGGTTGGCATCACTACTGTACGCTATGAGCTCGGAAGAGCAGACGTTTTGCTTTTTGTCTTTTTGTTCATTGATGAACAGTGCCGGACACAGAGTAGGCATTCATGAAGTTATTAAATTGAATGACTATAGTATCTATGTAACAGACACACGTTTCAGCCATGGATCTTGTTTTCCTTTAGTTCGTCCCTGGTTTTCTGTGCATTCACCTGACCACTGAGAAGGTACTCTTAAAGCCACAGCTACTTACAGCACGTTACACTAGACAAAACGCCCATGTTTGGCTAATTGCAGGGCACCTGAAAAAAGAAAATAAATGTTCCTTCCTACTCTGGACTCTCAAAGCAGTCAATTATCAGGACAGTGTAGCCAGACTAGTGCCAGCTGTCCAACCACCAGCTTGCTTATTTTAGCCCTTCCCTTCCTGTTTCTCTCCTGCCTGTGCCTAAGGGGGCCTAGTACAGCAGGAACCGTGCGCACAAGTGACGGCACAGGTCTTCCCCACGCCAGGTCCGGCCCACTCCACCAGTCCTTGGCTCCACACCCTTCCCACTAACAATGGCAGCTTAGTCAGAAATCTGAGGTTTGGTAGAGCACCAAGTTTCATTGTTTTTCTCGGGCCAGACTTTTAATGTGAGAGGCATAGATGAAGAGAAAACAAAGGGTGGTGACTTAAACAGCTATTTAAAGTCAACATTTTAGCCTTTTGGCAATGCACATAAAAATCCTTAGCTGCAATGTATTTACTTCACCTTATCTGTAATTTAAATCCCTTTTGTTGGCATGTCAGAATTTATACCAAATGTTTCATCTTTCACGGAAAGGCTAGGTATTGCTCACTACAACCAAAACTAGTCAAGGTCTGCAGTATTAATAGTTCAGCCTAACGTGGAAGGACTCACTGGCAGGACAGAGCAGCAAGGAGCAAAGCGTGTGGCAAGAGGAGCTAGCATTCTAAGCAGAGTGTGTATTTATCGTTTTTACCTTCACAGCGCTTAGTGATGGGTTACCCTATTCCAGGCTTATTTCCTACTGCACTTCTCCCTCGTGGAGCAGTATGGGGGTAACAGCCAACTTCTGGTAAGCAGACAAATGTTCCTGAGGAACTTGGTCCACAGTAATTTGAACAAGAGATGCTTGGAGCATGGAGAGCAGGAAGCTTTTGTTAGTAATGTCAGAGCAGTGCTGCAGGAATGAGAGAGAAGCAGCTTCCCTTGATTAAAATTAGTTGGAGGTGGGTGGGAAGGCACCGTGCCAGCATCACGTTATAAATAATCTTTTTCTTGTGGGGTGCTGTTGTGAAAGATGTATGGTTGCGTCAGTATGATGAAACTTCACAGGTGCAACTCTGGAAAAGCACGTTTTTGGAAAGGAATCGTTCTGGCACCTCATGCAGAACACCTTAACTATATACCAACGATCCAAGAACCAGTGCCACTGACCATAGGTGGCAGGTGTGCTGGGACATCTGTAACAGAATGCTCGTCAAAGATGTCTTATGGGCATTTCACAGGTAGTCTCTATTAGAGGGAAACAGTAAAGTGGCATGTTTGCCAGTTCTGTTACCCACTGTCCTGCTCCTTACTGCCTGTACCTGGGCAGGCACTGGAGTAAGCTTTTTGTTTGCAGAGAATAAAAGTAGAAACCGGTTGTTAGCAACTGAGAAAAATAGAAATGTTAGGAAATGTTTGCTTTCCTAACTACTTCACCCACCTATCAGTTAGTGGGGTTTTTAAAATATCTGCAGGAAAGATGCTATCAGTGAACAAAGATGGCTGTATTGCATTTTCTTCACCTGATATTTATTAATAATCTACATCTAAAAGCAAAAGTTTTTTCCCTAGGAGGGGAAATTTAGCACAGCCTTACTACCACCAGAGATTAGTAAAAATGTATATAGCTGTATATAATCTGAACCATGATTCAATTATAAAATAGCCATGGGAAAGTTATGCAAGGTTAGTTCACTGTCTATAAGAAATCTGAGTTCACTTAAATTATGATGGATAATACAGTTTAGGAAATTTAACAACAATTTCTCGTTAAAGGAAAACATATCATCAACATGGCAGATGTGAAAATCTTCCGGGAGGTTCTACCAAAACAAGGTACCTATAGCATCGCTGTGTGTGTCATAGGGTGTTCAGTGGTAGTGTCATGCAGCAGGCACTTAAATGCTGCAGATCTGCAGACCAGTTCTATGTTGTGTACAGTCTACTTCCACTGTGTATTCTGGGCATGACTAGCTTGTAAAGGAGATTCTCATCTTTTTCCCCTGGTAAAATAACAAATGGAACGTTACTTTCTTATAATGACAGTAATATACCCGTTTTATTGTCCTTGTTTCTCTACCAGTCATTAGGTTAGTTGCACTAACTATATTATCCTTCATCCTCACAATTATCATTTTAAGGTAATGTGGAACATTATTTCTTATACCTAGAAAACCTGTGAAATCCAAGAATGCAGGTTACAATATGAAATTAATGAAAATGATAATATGTCTGAAAATGGGGAAAAAGATATCTACATCAAAAGTTGGCTTTAAACATGAGTAATATGAATATTCATGTTAAATACCGTACCTTTATTTTTGGGATTTACCCCCCAAACCATAATTCCAGTTAAACACCTGACACAGATTGCACTTACGGCAATTTGAATCTTTCATAAAAGTCCAGTTTGTCTTCCTTCACATTCCAGAACTGTATCTGCTTATGAGGTGGCCATGACCATTCCCTTCGTGAGCAGAATTCAGTCCAAGTTTTTCCACTGACAACAGATTTTAGACCTTCATTTTAGCTCCATACCCATGCCACCAAAGACTGAGTTATTTTCATTGAATTAACTTTCATTTCTTGTTAAACTTAGGGCAACTGTCGGTGGAAGACGTAACCACAATGGTGCTGTGTAAACCAAAACTTTTACCCTTAAAATCTCTCTCTCTGGAAAAACTGGATAAAATGCAGCAAGCAGCACATGATACCATTCGCCAACAGCAAATGGCAGAAAAGGAAAAACAGGAAAAAGCTCACTGACCAATGAACTCTTCAGCACCCTACCTTACCTAGTTTATTATCTAAAACATAATCTGTACCTATATGCAGAAAGTAGTATTAATAAAACTGGTAATTTTCATAAATTATTTTAAAGTATCAAAAATAAAACTTGTGAATTTAAACTGTGCTTTGCGTAGAATAAACTTTGAACCAAGTATTTTGGGATTTTCATGGTTTCTAAATGACATTTAAATTACTGTTCTCCATTCCTAGTGCCACAGCTTTAACATAGGCACAAATGACTAAATGCAACTTTTATATAGGTGATCTTTACATGTTTATTACAAATCTGAACTTAAACATACATGAAGTGCTCGTGTTGGTTTTTACATTATCTAATTAAAACATTTTTAATCAATTGTGTGCGCCATGTCATGTTTACCTTGCTTGATCCGTAATGACCCTACCAGTACTCTCAAAACTAGTTTCTTAAATGTGATTTTTAACCCATTTTGTAATTAGCTTTTAATTACATTATTTTTAAAGACTGAAGAATTACTTAAGTACTTTTAACCATTCTCCAGATATCAAAAACAGCAGCTAAAAATGCTTATTATCTATATAAGCCTGAGTAATATGAGCTGAAGCTGTAAGACAAGTCTGAACATAAAATTTGGGGTGTTACCGAAGACTACCTAACCCCATACCAGGAACCTTCCTACTTCTGTACATTAATATAGTCTTTGTTAATTTGCTGTAGTCAGTGGACAATTTATATTACCAGACTTTGAGGTCTTGCTGAGTAGGCTTTGTAAAAGGTTAGTAATATAATCATTCATTAGGTTACTATTATTCATTGATAGTATTTTCTGAGGCACCAGTTAAACATAAAGCTTAAGTACCTGGAGAAAAAAACTTTATAACTCTACTCATTAGTAATACAGTTTAAGGATGATGGAAGCTAAGCTCTAGGTCATATCAATAAATAAGAGTTAAGGAAATTATTTCTCCCACTATAATATTACAAGAAGTTTTTAAGCTATTTTTTGCTTAGAAGTCTACAAGAAAGAAGATTGTAGCCTGTGTTACCTCTAGGTTCAAAGGTCCTTCCTTATATAGTTTAAGTGATATATGAAGTTTAAGTTTTATGTTTTGCTTTTTGCAATGCTGGGATGGTATTCAGGGCCTAATACCATGGTAGGGGAAATAATTTAAACGTTTTTGAAAGACTTCAAGTAAGTGTACTCCAAATAAAGAATCACCACTGCTTCACATGTTTTATTTTGTTGTACATTCTTGCAGAACCAGGTTCACTTTTCCAGTTTTGTAAAAAAATAGATGTTCCAGCCACCATTTACTTAACTGTCTAGTCTTTAAGACCAATCAATATGTTCCCTGGAAAGATGAGTAAGTCTCATGACTCATTTTTTTAAAAATTCTTTTAAGACAATTTTTTTTTACTCTCAAAGCACAGTATTTCAACAGCAGCAGCCAACATGGGGTTTAGCAGTTTAACTTTACCCCCTAAATAAAGCTTTGTATAAACCAGTGATTTTACTACAAAAAACACTGTCCTTGAAAGAAAAGAGTGGCAGTCAGACATCAATGCAAAACTTGGAATGATTAGGTCATAAACATGGCACTTATACAAAAGGTAGCTTATTAGAATATTCCACTTAAGTGGTTACTTTTCTCTTTCCTTTCCACCCTCAAAAAAAAAAAAAAAAAAAAAAAAAAAAAAAAAAACTTTTTAAAAATTCCCCTTAAAATTTATAAAATTTCAGAAAGCCTTGTACCCAAAACAAGTGCTAAAATTAAAAAAAAAAAACTGTGCTAACAACTCCTACAATTCAGATATATATTTTTATAACACCTAAGACTGCAAGAGTTGTTATATTCAGTAGCTCTCTGGTTTGAGGCGACCTCCATCTCCTTCACTTACAAAACGCTTTCTGCCCCTGTAATGAAAAGAACAAAAATATAAAAACAAATTCTGTTATTCAATTAAAAATTAAAAGCTTGGCAATTTGGGGTTATGCAATTGGATTGAAAGCTTTTAAGAAAATGATAAAGCATCTCAATTTTTTTGGAAAAGACATTTTTCTCTAGCATATATCTTCACACAAAGTGTCAAATGAACAGCAAATCTGAGCAATATTTTAAACAAAAGCTTAATTCTACCACATCACTGTTTGAAAGTTAAGTAATAAGCCACATATGAAACAGTAACATGAGAATTATGCAAACTGGAGCTATGATAGGTTCCAGTTTGGTAAGTTCCATGTTTAACAATTTTAAAATTTTTCTTAGCTATAGAAAGCCATTAACTGAATATGGAAAAATAATTTAGAATACAGTTAATTCTATCCTGGGTTCTACTTGGGATTTTTACTATTTCACGCTCACGAAGCCCTCCCCTACAATGTTAAAACACTCTAGGTACTATACAGGTAGCAACAAGAGCCCAGGGGAAACAGCTGGTACAGAATTACCCCTTAATATCTTACCAGACCAACACGTTGTAACATCACATACAATTATGCACTTCACCCAAATAAGCAAAATTGACAAAAGTGAAATTTGTCTGATGTACACTGAAAATCTACACCTCCTCAAATGACCCTCATTCTGAATAAAGCCACAATAAGATATCATTAGACTTTCAAACAGAAGCTGAAAATTTTAAGCCAAAGGGGTACTGACCCCTTTTGAAATTCACTATGGCAAAGTGGAAATCACATAATTTTTTTGAATATAAAGGCTTTGAGACCAGGTGAGGAATGAAGCTGTCAACAGCAAGCAGCCTTGCAAAAGACAGGGCATTTCACTCAGGAATTCCACTTGGCACATCAGTATGTAAATGGTAACATCACCACGCCAAGGTCTACGTTTCCAGACATTTCTGTCAAAGCCATTAATCTTGCACTGTTGTCCTTCAGTCTTAATGACTTCAAAACTTTGTAAAGCATCAGGAATCGTACTCAAGAAATATTTTTTGGGGGGCTGGTGAGATGGCTTAGTGGTCTAAAGTACCTACTTAGAACAGGGTTAGCAAAGCACAGGGACCACAGTTCAATCCCCCAGCACCACATGCCAGCCAGCCCCGCCCCCTGGTGGGCTGAGCTGGCCACACACACACACAT